TGGGAATATTTTAGATGTGATGAGTCAAACGTTTGACTCATCAAGTGTTTATCAGAAGGATATTAATAACCAATCCAGGGGAACTATATAGAGAAATGGCTGTAACTTGTAACAAATGCAGGGGTTATATTAATATTAATAGTAACTAACCTGGCTTACAGGAACAGGATCCATCTATGGGGGAACACTTAGCTTTGTTCTTACAGTTGCAGCTGGAAGAGCAGTTCACACCAAATGTTCCTGCTGGGCATGGCACTGAACATATGGGACCCTGAGAAGGTTAACAGACAAAATGCTAAAAGTGACGATGAAAACAACACAGTTTCATTTTTTGGTAACTTTGCTTGCTTTTGTCTTTTGTGTAAAGTTTGATCATTAACAGACCTGAAGGGACAGTTCATCAAACTGTATTTGACATAGTCACACAGCACATTAAAGACTTCTGATCCACTCTTCTTTTACTCTTGTTTCTTTTCTGCATGCCTTATAGCTGAACATTTGTAATTTTGGATAGCTTCATTATGGCTGTTTAAAACGTTTGAGTGTAGCTGCATAGCCACTTAAAGAGAGGCAACCAAACACTTCTCAGGTGTTATTTTTCATGGCAGTGTAATACATGCAAAAATGAAACAAACTATTTCCTATCAGCTTCTTAGAATATTATAAGCAGGAGATTTAAGATTTTGGATTCTGTATAGATGAGGATCATATTGCCACATCTATATAGAACCCAAAATGCAAACAATTGCTCACTGAATCTATTTGGATACGACTACTGTGGCTGGAGAACTGGTTGCCTTGACACAATTCTTTAAGCACATAATGTAGCCTCACAAGCTACATTATTCAAAGGAATTGATGTTGTGAGGAATAATTCTGGGCTTTGACTACACTCGTTGCTAAGCTAACCCATTTTGCTTTCACTTACAGAGTAGGAGACAAGTAGGAAACCTAACTCTAGGAAAGGAAGCAAATATTTAGATTTTCTAAAATTTTCAACAGTCCCAAAATAGTTGTGTCCAGACAGTGAACAAAACTATCATGTGTACGTGTGTGAAAAAGGAAAATAATTAAAAGCTTTTTTCTGAAAACAGAATTGCACATCTCACATTATCCATTTGTTTGTTGGTAATTTTTGAAACATTAATCTATACTGGAATGATGGTTGTGAATAAGGCAGTCAGGCGGGTTAATGGGCCCACACAGCGTTTGGAAGTATAACTTGTGCTTGTATTATGTATCTTACTTAAGAAAGGCAAATAGATTTCCCATGAACAA